GCAGAAGGGGAAGCGGGAGAGCTTCCTGTGCCCGGAGCGACCCCGCGCCGCATGCCTGGCAGGGCCGGGGCCACGCTCGGCCTGTCCTCCCGCCGGCTGCACCGAGAGCAGGAGGATTAAGAGCCACTAAAACTCCTCCTGTCCTTACAGAGCGCGCGGCCGGGGAGATTACTGTCTGCTGCGTCAGGAAACGTCAYTTTCCCGTAGCTCCGTGTAGGAGGAGTGCGTGTTCAGGAAGGAGGTGCCGAGTCCTAACGCAGTTTCATGCAGCGTGACTTTGTCCGTTCCATACGGCAGACTGGGGTGCAGCAGTGCAAAGCTGACCTGGGGGGCAGGCCGGTTAAAAGGTGGGTGGTTAAAGCAGTGCGGGGGTGATCCTGAGACGAGGCTCGTGCAGAATAACGAGCAGAGGGGTCTGTGTGGGTGCACACGTGCGCTGGACTCGCCGTTGCTACTGGTGCTACTGTGCAGAACTGCAGAAGCAGCAGCAGCGTATGGATTTCATGGCATGCAGGAGGAGCTGACGATTAAAAAACGCCTATCACATTCAGTACGAGGTGGTGAAATAACGTTCAGCAGAAGGCTTCGGTTCCCCTCTTCTGCAGCCTCTTGTTTGTTCGGTTTGCAAATATAACGAGTGCTGAGTAGGAAGCTTGAGAGTTGCCCTCCCAGGTGGGTTGAGCACCTCTGTGGCAGAAGAGCAATCTGACCCATTCCTGGTGCCGCCTCCTTCCCTCTCATCAAACTCAGCCCAGGAATTTGATGGAGGACAGATTCATATACTCCCATTGAGCCCAATTGCTCTGATCTCTCTGTTTTGCTTATTTGTTTGAACTGAGTGTTTTCTTTCACCTAGGGAATAGATTTTAAACCCCATTAGGGGTGTCAAGAAGAGCAAGAATGGCTTCTTCAGATACAACAGTAACAAAGGAGAGAGTAGGGAAAATGCTGGCTACTAGTGAATGGGGCAGGAGCCCTGGAGAAAAGGACAGCAAAAGGGCCCAAAGTGCTTCCTTGCCTCAGTCTTTACTGACTAAGATGAGCCCTCAGGAATCTCGGACCATGGAGACCAGGGAGGAAGCTGGGAGAAAGGAAAACTTCCCCTCCAATGAGGTGGATCTATCAGAGATGACTTTGGCAAACCTGGCAGCCCTGAGCCCCCGTGGGATGCACCCCGCAGTGCTGAGGGAACTGGCAGGTGTCATGGCTAGACCAGTGGCCTTCCAAAAGGGCATGGAGAGCAGGAGAGGTAACTGAGGGCTGGAAGAGTGTTAATGCCACTCCAGCGTTCAAGARGGGCAAGAAGGAGGGCCCAGGAAACTGCAGGCGGGCAGCCTCACCTCCATCCCTGGAAAGGCTGAATAGCACTGGGCCCAGCACTGACCCCCAGTGGTGTCCCCCAGGGGTCAGTGCTGGGCCCGGTGCTGTTCCATTTGTTCATCAATGACCTGGACGAGGGCACGGA